AGAAGGATCTGACGGAAGGATCGAAGCTAGTCCGAATGCACAGTATTCCATTTTCAAGTGTTTCTTTACCTAAACTATCAGAAGGCAGAAAATACAAAGTTTTAGCAGATCACATTTAATTTTTACAATCAGGTTTATTGCTATAAATTTATGATTTTTAAGGATTCATCGAAATATTTATCGGTAAAAACGATCACCATATCACGTGTGTATTCATTGATTCAACAACACTTGCTTCGCTTGTCGTCACTATCGTTGCAGATGCAATTAATTGGTATCACTCCCGAATGAAATTCTCGTCTCATCCTTGCCTAGACTCGTTCTCGATTCGGCACTCTCACGTGTTTTTTGTGTGAACAGTTCAGTGGTCACTTGAGTGGTATCTGCCTGAGTTCGATCGATTCCGTGATCGCTCTTGAGTGCACTCCTTGAGGGCGCTTTTTGAGTTTCACGACGTTTTCGTGCCAAGTCGTCTTTTTCAACGTGATTCTCTGCGTGTTGNTTTTCAACGTGATTCTCTGCGTGTTGCTCATTCGACGACTCCTGTTGTGTCGTATCAGGCTGCAAATCAAACCTCCTGAAGCAACCAGCCAGCTAGCTCGACCAAAGGATTAACCGAATGACAGATATCTCTACCGACTTGACTTGACAAGTCGCTCTTTTAATTTGGGATCGATACACCGTTAGCAAACAGATTCTGACAGAATCAGGCGAGAATTTTACTACCCTCACGAGTAACACCAAAATTCCAAGCAAATAATATCGACGAGCTGGATGTCCTGGTCAAATTCACTCGAGTCATGACTCTGAGCTCATTTCCTTGAGTCGAGAGTAGTTTTTGGTTTGTATGGAATTTTCATTTCATACAAACCAAAAACTGATGTTTTCCTAATCAAATACTGAGGAACGGAAGGCTGTTGAGCCTTCATAACGTATATGTTTATGACTGGTATTCGTAGCAGTTTGCCTAACGCTTAGTCTGCCTATTAGGCGAAATATCCGTTAAAAAACCGTAAGTTAGGCAAACTGTCCGTTAGGCAATG